GAGCTGTCGGTAGACGACATCAAGGGCGCCGCGGCGGCGGTCTATGCCGCGGGGCAGGACACGACGTGGTCGACGCTGGTAGTCTTCGTCCTCAACATGGTTCTGCACCCCGAGGTCCAGGAAAAAGCGCAGGGGGTGCTGGATGAGGTCGTCGGGGATGGGAGGATGCCTTGTTATGAGGACCGGCCGAGACTACCGTACATTGACTATATCGTCCAGGAGACGCTGCGGTGGTGCCCCGTATCCCCGCTAGGTGTGCCGCACCGCTCCCTGGAGGATGATGTGTACGACGGCATGTTTATACCAAAGGGATCGTTCGTGTATGCCAATGCGCGGGCGATGACGCACGATGAGCGGACGTATGCTGATCCTGAGGCATTTGACCCGGAGAGGTACGTCCCTGTTGAACAGGGCGGCCGCGGGGAGCCGTTTCCTGTGGGGCAGTTTGGGTTCGGGAGGAGGGTTTGCGTTGGAAAGCATCTTGCGGAGGCGAGCATTTGGATTGTGATTGCTTCGATGCTCGCGACGGTCAAGATTGAGAGGGTGAGAGGGCCGAGGGGGGAGGAGATTATACCGCTGGTGGAGTTGACGAATGGACTTACGAGTCACCCGAAGCGATTCCCGTGCCGGATTATACCCAGGAGTCCTCGTAGTGCAGAGATGGTTATTTCAACAACGTTATAGGTGAAGCCTACTGTGGGATTATAGAATGAGTGTATTGTAGTATAAATTGCATGCGTAGCTGGTAATCGTTGCTGAATGTCGTAAATATCCCCTTTACTTCGGATGCTAACCGCCAAGCGACCTGGAACGATACTATGTGGTACCAGTCTTTGAACACTATAACACCAATGACGTGAGGTTCCGTTTGTCTACATGTTGTTCACTTGGCGGTAGCGGAATTATCGAATTTTACTAGTGTGTAAGATTCAAGGAGATATTAAGTAACTATCAAGCTAAAAGTACAACTACAGACAAAGGAGATCTATAAAATCGACTATGGCCATCCCTGCTATGGTATCATCAAACTCGTGAATCAGGCATAAGCCACCAACGCCAATCTACCCCAATCGTTCAAATGAGTGTCTGTGATATTATCAATCATCCTTTACTTGGACCCGTTGATCTTGCCGTTGTTCTCACTCTGCATGGCCTGCATACCGGCGTTCATCTTGCCAAACTGCCACTCAGGCAGAGTGATGCCAGTCTGCTCGTTGATGGTCGTCATCAGGGGAGGCAGCATCTGGTAGACGTTGCGCATGGTATCAATGCCAGAGTTGCCACCGCCCTCGCCAGAACCTTGGCTACCCGTGTTCCAGACGCTGATCTTGGGCTGCAGGCCGCGGATGGCCTCGGCGTTGGCCTTTGCGAGCTGGACGTAGGTGCCCTTCTCGATCATGAGGTACTGCAGCAGACCCGCGGGACCGCCAAAGGCAGTCGACATCTTGCCGTAGGCGTCCGCCATAGCGGCCATACCCTCGGCCTTCTTGAGCATGATGGCGAGGTCGGCCTCGGCGTTGAGCTGGGCAGAGTACTGGTGCGCCTCGGCGTCCTGGCGGGCCTTGTAGGCGTTGGCGTCGGCCGTCTTGGTGGTGCGGTTGAACTCGGCTGAGGTGTGCGCGTCGGCATCCTTTTGCGTCTTGAAGGCCTTTGCCTCGGTCTCGCGCTGGCTCTTCTCAAAGTTGGCCTTGGCGTCGGCCTCAATGGCATATGCCTCAGCGTCGGCCTTTTGCTGGCGGGCCTCACGCTCGATTGTGGCCTTTACGACCTCGGTAGCACGCAGGCGCTCAATCTCGGCGGCGGCGCGCTTGACCTCGACTTCGCGCTTGAGGTCCTCGTCCTTGGACTCGAGGGCGCGGCGGGCCTCGACGCGGGCGATCTCGACGTCCTTGCTGAGGGAGGCCTGGCGGGTGTCGAGGTTGGCCTCGGCGGTGGCGCGCTCGATGTCGCGGTCCGTCTTCTGGACGGCGGTCTCGGCGTTGATCTTTGCAATCTCGCGCTCCTGCTCGCCCTTGCGCTTGGACTCGCCGACGTTACCGCGCAGCTGGGCCTCGGCGACGTCGATCCTGGCCTGGTTGCTGGCGCCCTCGTGGGCCTTGCGGGAGAGGGACTCAAAGTAGTTTGAGTTGGGGGCGTCCTTGAGCTCCTTTACGTTTGCATTGTAGATCTTGAGGCCGAATTGGCTAAGCTCGGACTGGATGTTGCGGAAGATGCGGCGCTTGAAGACCTCGCGCTCGGTGAAGATCTCCTCCATGGTCATGCTGGAGACCAGGACACGGACCTCACCCTCGATGATGCCCTTGACGATATTCTCGAGGTGGACGAGGGAGCTGGTCTTCTTGTCGGCAGACTCGGCGAGGAGCATGGCGTACTTCATGAGGGCGTCGCCGCGGTCCTCGCGGCGGTTGGAGGAAATGTAGCTGTCGTCCTCATCGTGTTGCTGCTGGTCGGAGGTCTCGGAGTGGTGGCTCGATTGATGAGCGGCGTTGGCACCGCGCTGGTTGACATCGGGGCCTACAGTGAAGACGACGGGCAGGAGGAATTGAAGCTTCTCCTTGGTCATGGCCTGGAGGCTCATGGCATAGTCGTGGGGAGTGATGCGGAAGCGCATGCAGCGTTGAAAGGGCCATACCCAGGCGGCCTTTGTGATCTTGACCGTCTTCACGGACATACCCGTGATGGCGAGGTATTCATCGGGGGCGGCGACTCTGTACGACATTTTGGCGGTGTTGTATGGGTGGAAGTGAGTGAGGGTAAGGTAAAGATGGAGGTAGGGTTGGCAGAGGGAGAAGAGGGTGAGATCTTTAAAGGTGGCCGCTTCTCAACGACTCTGTTATGAGAAGTTCGAGTAGTATATGAATGGATGTTTGGAGCAGACGCTGCTGGCGTGGACTGCTCGTTGGATTTGTAGAGTGATCCTCCTGTGATAGACAAGAAGACTCGGGGTATCTTGAGGTAGCTCTATGTTGGTGTGACACAACACTGCAAATAGGAGGAACCATTCTATTATATACCTTGGGAGCCCGCGAGGCAGATCGAAGCTCTACCTGAGCTCTAAGCTCAAGAATGGACTCACATCATGTCACCTACCTTGGCATCTCGGGTAAGGTAGTTCATGGCTGGGGGCAGACGCCCAGTCGAGCAAGCAACTTAGCGGCGGTAAACGGTTGCGACTAGCGTGTGACCCATTCATGACCAGGCATTCTCGTTACACGACATACCATTCTGGCAGCCTATGAAATGAGCCTCGTGGCAAGGCAAAGCATTATTGGAGGGCGGAGAATGCGATTGGGCGGTGTCATTGGTGAATGGTCACCGTCAGAACATCGTTCCGTTGGTGGCGGCAGTGCATATGGTAAGACCTTCACCCTTGGACGTGTAGGTGGAGGAAATGGCGGAAAGATAGTAGCTGGATTGGTCCTTTGAATTCCGCATCAGACGGCAGGCACCCGGTTAGTCAGTCCTACCTCTCCACGTGACTTTTTCGGGATATTCGGACCAATCACAGCACCCCTGTGGCTGGGTCAAGTCAGCTGGTGTGGCTAGTGCGCGCTAGACTTCTTCTCGAAGCCTGCCTTATATGGATGCCTGGAGTCACCTAATCGCCGAATGTGGCTGATCTGGGGAAATTAAGGTGTCGATCCACTCCACCGCTTCCCATCTGAGGCCCTCCACCTCTTCGCTCGACACCATCGACAACACCCTCACTTTCATGGTTTCGCCAGGTCAGACATGCATCAAAAGGCGCCAGAAGATGCAGGGACGGGCTAACTCGAGTGCACAGGCCCGAGTCAGATCATCCACGTTCTCTTCTATACAACATAGACCCTCTCAGACGGCATAGTCTGCTGCTAGAATTCCAGGCAGCGCAAGATGAAGGCCTGTAATTCCCGTCACCGAACGCTTACTTTGCTATTGCATGCCAACATATCTTGCGGCTGAAACGGGCATCTTAATCACGCAGCATCAACATCAAGAAATCGCTCACATACCACATCAACTTCGAACTCAATTCGACCTTCTTTTCCCTAGGCGATGACCGAGCCTAGGGTCTGATTTTCCCTCATGTCAATCGACGAGCGGGCCTCATTCTCGGTCACCTGTTCCGGGAATGCTGAGCGATGGCGGCGCGCTAATGCCTCCTTGAGCCCTTCCGATAGGAACCAGCTGCGGCGCAGCACAGCACAGCACTTTAGTCGGGCGCATTTCCCTCCTCCTCTTCTTTTCGGCACCTTCGCCAGGCACTCGAAAACGCCTCCGAGAACCCTTGGAACCTGCCATTAGCGTATCCGATAATCGTCGAGTAGCCTTCACAGCGCCTGCTTGTCTTCCTTCGCCCAGCCGCAGTGCCGCCTGAACCGACCCCCAAGAGAGGCTATCCAAGGATCTACAACACCCACGAACCAACTCACAGCCTCATTCCATGTCTGCCCTTTGACACAACATAATCATACACATTCGCCCCTGCATAACATTGATCGCTCAGAGGACCCCGTGACCACCAAACCCGATAATCTCCGCCACCATCCCCGAATTCTTAGTCCGACTGCATGCTGTTCGTGCAGGCCTTGCGGTCACAAGAGTTCAGCCCTGCAGAAGTCGAACTGATGCTCCCATCGGCGTCGGCCGAGAGCATTGCAACTACCTAGATACTACGGAGTACGTCGAGCCGTGTTCCCACTCTTTCGTCATTGCGGAATCCCCGTCTCGGCACCGAAAGTCGTTGCCTGCCTCTTCTGATCCTCCAAAGTCCAGTCACCATTGCGGCACGCACCCGATGCCAGAGTCGCCCGAGGCGTTTTTGGCACAAAGAGCTCAGGCTTACTGTTCATCTATCAAGGTCATTCACTCAGTGACCCACGAACGACGGACTTCCAATCATCTCCCTTGCGACTGCATCAGCCCGACGAGCTCACTTTCACGCAAGTCTCAGTCTGTGTTGCAGAAGCCTGGCCACAAAGCATCAATTCAATTCCAAACCTACTCACGATACTGTTGCCATGTCGAAGAACCCTGACGGAGACGGGGATCTGCCCCCCTCATACAACGAGGCAACGACATCATACCACTCATCGTCGTCACTCAACCACAACTCATCGGTCTCAGTGACCCTCAACAACCTCTCTTTCTTGCTCCGCGAAACGCAAGCTCAGCAGACCGCCCGTGATACCGTCACGACAACAACCCTTCTTCCGCTCCTAACGCCCCACATCACGTCACTCTTGACACGTCTAGGAACGACTCCTCACCCACCCATTTCAACAGAGCTCTATCTCGTGCCCGCTGCGGCAGTCGGTCCAGAATGGATCATCGCTTCAGATGCCGACCCAAAGGCAGGCCAGGTCGCGGAGGTCATCCGCGTGGAACCGGAGCCCGACCCCGATTCTAAGGGAAGGGGTGACACCAAGGGTCAAAGCACGGGCGCAGCCTCCGGAGATGCAGTTGTAGGTTCCTCCTATGAATTTGACGAATGGGGCCGCTGGGACGACGACGTCAATACAGGTGCGTCGACGTCAAGGGAAGGAGAATGGTGGTGGAGCGATGAAGGTCTGGCCCGGCGTCTCGCGAAACGGCTACAGCCCGAACCAAAACTCGACCGTACCGTCGTCCGTGCCGTCGTAGAAGAAGCTAAAGAGGATAAAAAGGCCGGCCGCTGGGGGCTATTCAGAGCTGGCACAGATCCTTCATCGTCACCTTCGTCGTCCTCATCGGGCCCACCGCCTTCTCGACACTTTATGAAGCCCACGTCTCCTTCCACAACGTTCGAGGAAAATGTTTCAATGACGGTGCGCGGGGAGGAAGTAACCTTTCGCCGGGAAAACGAGATGGGAATATGGGAGAGCATGCGCGGGTTTGGAATCGTGGTAAGAGTGAGGATACGAAGGACATGAGGCTTTGATACCCGAGTCTCCACCAGATCACAAATGTTAGAAGGCTAGCAAGTCCGAGACAGACAGACATGCCTCTCTGGCACCTTCGCAATTCGGACTATTTTGAGCGTCCGCTTCAGACCTATCCATCCGAGCCACAGCTTATTGCTGACCAACTTATCGGTACCCTGCACTGATGAGGGATTATAGCCGACCAATGAGACGAACTAATACTAGGAGGATGCATCTCTCTCGTCCGAAATTCGATCGAATTCTGGCTTGCTGACGATAATTACACACTGCCATCGAGTAACGACATCGATATCGGGTGATGTTGGCGATAATGTCCAGTAGCTAATAACTTATAAGATATATTACTTGTAAACGCATGGTACAACTTCAACTTCGGGACACAGTAGCCCAAAGATAACGTTGACCAGAAAGCACTCGCTCCGGACTCCTTAGCCATGGTCTCCCTTCACGTAGTTAACCAATCCAACGCCCTCGTCGCATCTCTTCCAAAGGGCTTAGTAGCAGTCTTCATCGGCGCAACATCAGGCATCGGCAAAAGCACCCTCCAGCACCTTGCCCAACACGCGCGCTCCCCACACATCTACACCGTGGCGCGCCCTCAGACCGTCGCATCTCACGAGACCTTCCTTGCCTCACAGCGCGCAAGCACAAACCCAGATGCCAGCTACACCCTCCTCCCCGCAGACCATGCCCTGATATCCGACGTTGACGCCGCCATGGACACCATTCTCCAAAGGGAAACAAAAGTCGACATTCTTTTCCTCTCCGCGGGATTCATCGCCTTTGAAGGACGCCAAAACACCGTAGAAGGGCTGGACCCGTCCATGTCGACGCGGTACTACACCCGCCTCCGCGCCGTCCAAAAGCTCCTCCCCCTCCTCCTCAAGGCGGCCCGCCCGCGCGTCGTATCGGTGCTGGCGGCGGGGCTAGAGGGTCCCATGCCCGACGAGGAGGACCTCGACCTCCGGAAGCCCGGGAATTGGGGTTACTGGCCTGCTTCCGTGCAGGCTACGACCATGGGTACGCTCGCGCTTGAGGTGTTGGCGAGGGAGAACCCGGGGGTGAGTTTTGTGCATTCTATGCCTGGACCCGTGGCGACGCCTGGGTTGGAGAGGGCGAGGGGGTTTGGGGTGGACGTTAGGGGGGAGATGGGTTTTGAGGAGGCGGGTCAAAGGGGGTTATTTTTGGCGACGAGTGATTTGTATGATTCTCGAGGGCGGGAGGGAGTTATGAGGGTTCCTGGAGGGGTCGAGGGTGTAAAAAGGTCCGGGGGTGGTGTGTTTTTGGTTGGTCCCGAAGGGGAGAGGGTTGATAATGAGGAAGTTTTGGGGGGTATGAGGGAGAGAGGGTTGGATGTGAAAGTGTGGAACTTTACTCGAGAATTATTTGATGATTGTCTAGGCCGAAATGGAAGCTTTAAAGAGCCCGTGTAGACTCTGCTGGAATTGTTGGCTCTTGGAAATTTTCTCACTAAATACCCTATCAACTGCCAGATGACTCTTATTCATGTCGTTCGTGCGGTGGGAAAGCATGTGGCGTCTAAGTCCACCACTGTTTCCCCTTCAATTTACAAAGGCTTCAAAAAAGTAGAGTCATCTTGGGACCAAACAAAATGCTATATCTAACAATCAAAACTTGATGGGATGCTGTCTTGGCCGAAGTCTCTGCTGGCTGATAGACAGTCATTGCAAATGAACGATGTTAGATAAATTAGTGCACAAGGTCGATGTCAGAGAAGTTAACTTGGGGAATGAAAACGGCCCCTGGGAAATAAATATGCGATTATTCGGTTTTAATTTTGATAGAGTCAGTGATAATCGTCGCGGCCCGCATGGAGCTGGTGGAGTAATCCTTCTAGGAGACGGGACTAGCCTCGGCCCGATCTCAAGGGGGAAGCGCCAACGAGGTATTGTGATAGAGTTCCGATCACTAGCTTGCTTGATTACATAGCATCAATGGTCATTGCAATCCAGATAATCTCGTCATGGAACCATGCGATAGATCGAGAAATGATTCGGCTGGACCGCCTATCCGTGCGTTGAATGGTCTAGACCGAAACCGGCTTCGATCTGGAGTCGATGCTGGTATTCTTTCAGAAATTGATGGACTACATATAAAGCATTCTTTGTGGCCATTCAACGCCACTGCTATCGAGATTGACGCAAATGGCATCGGAATGTCAGCGGTGCGGAGTCGAGCCACCTCAAAACCAATGAAGGCACTGCCGTGGCGGCTGCGAGGCTAACTTGGCCGCTCATCTAAGCGGGCTGAAGGAATCGTACATACGGGTAGTCCCTCTCGCTTGCCTCCTTCTTCCATTGAGGCAAGGTTCCCCATTTGATGCAAAACCGGAATCAAACCACGCTCTACAAATTTCCAAAAGTCAAATCGTGGTTGTCACCACTTAGGAAACCAGCGATTAAGGAGCAGATATCGAGGCGACAAACGACTCTGTCCAGGAAGGAAAAGAGTCGCATATCTTCCCCTTATCTATCACTTTTGCAGTCATGCTTTGGGCACGGCTCGCACCGCCGTTACTCCTACTCAGCCTCAGTACCCTTACGAAAGCATCCAGCCTGGGCGACATTCCACCATGCGCAGTAAGTACTTTCCCACAATGCATTTCTTACCATTAAGTCTTGCTAATAAAAGGCAGGTACCTTGCCTACTGGATGCCATTCCAAAGTCGACATGCACTTCCGGTGATCAAACATGCCTCTGCCATGATACTTCATACATAAACCTAGTCGAGACATGTGTCAGAGCGGATTGTTCAGTCAAAAATGCCCTGGGTCAGTGAATCGATGTTTCCGTCGGGGTACCAAGACGGCACATTGCTAACCACATCTCCAGTCACGAAGAATATCACGCAGACGGAGTGCGGCTTTCCGGTTGAGGACGACTTCGCCGCTGTCAAGATCATGCGCCTGGTTCTGTTCTTCACACTTCCCACTTTCGCCATCATCATCCGCTTAGTTGTGAAGATCGCCCGGATATCACCCTGGGGATTTGATGACAGTACCATTCTATTGACATATGTGAGTTACGACCCCTGGATTGGGAAAATATGATGAAGAAAAGTCTAACCCGTGAATCGAGATCATAATGTTTGGCTTCATACCGGTAAATTACGTCGGTAAGAAGATCCCTATGCAATATAAAAAATAAATTTCGATAAATGGTGTGTTAATTACCTCACAGCTGAACTTAACGGCGCCGGGCGAGATATTTGGAGTCTCACTTTCGACCAAATCGACCTTTACTTCTTGGTAATAACTTTCCCTCCAACGACAACGCGTATTCAGACGAGAATACAACGCTGACTGGCTCCAGACATTTTATATCGGCCAACTGCTCTATGTGTTCACGCTGACGCTGATCAAATCCTCCATACTATTCATGTACCTACGAATCTTTCCCGGCGAGAAGTTCCGCTGGGTCTTGTGGACAACGCAGGCTATTACCGTGGGGCTCGGGATGGGATCCGTGTTCCTAGTGGCCTTTCAGTGTCAACCCGTCGGGAAAGCTTGGAAACAATGGACCGGGGAGGAGAATGGTCACTGTATACCGGTGCCGCCGCTTGGCGTGGTCCATGGGGCGGTCAACATCGTACTAGACATGTGGATGCTCATTCTACCGGCATCTCAGGTGCTCTTCCTGAACATGAAGCCTCGAAAGAAATGGGCGGTGATGTTCATGTTCAGTCTCGGCCTATTGTAAGCACTGTATCTTGAACGCCAACTTCATCTCTGACATACGACTAACCACCCTACTACGATCAGCCTCACAATCTCCAGCGGTATACGACTGAGGGCGGTTTTGAGGTACACGACTGCGTCGACCAATCCAACTGGTGAGTAGAGCTTCGAATCATCCAAAAACAAACACTGTTTGGCGTGCTACTCTCAGCGGGACTGACCATCTCTAGTCGATGCAATGCCCGTCGCCGTGTGGTCAGACATAGAGCTCGACGTGGGCGTTTTCACGACCTGCATCCCAAACATCTGGCAATTTGTCCGCCGCTTTATTCTCAAAGACCCTAAACGAGTGGAGAAGTTGAGCTCGAGGAATGCTCAGAACCAAAATCTCGAGGAGTATCCACAGAAGTCGCCGGCACCGGCGTCGACGGAGGTCGGGGAGGAGGAGCTAAGATGATGCCAAGGCACAGCTTAGGAGGCTCAGCGTGATTCGCGGGTAATTCTTTACGCGGACGTGGAGTTTTTGGAAGACGTTCGTCAATTTGTAAAAGGCAATAATATATAGATACTTCCAACTGAGGTTTGTACAAAAGCTTCATGTTTTGCGCGTTGTCTAGATGCATCTGATTTGCAGCAAGATCTGGTGGACTGAGGCATGGTCGAAGTTATTTAGGACTAATGTAGCTCATGCAGGACGGACAGCCCGAAGAAGCCCGGACCAAATCTTCTTTGCAGTGGACTATAGCATACGGTGGAAGAGGCTACAAGATAGTTGGACGATGCGTGTTTTTTTAACAAGTATTCGGGGAGCACATCCGACGCTACGGTCATTATAGCCGAACCTCAGCTAAGAGTCGCACAAACCTGGAAATCTCCCGTTCTACAGCCAAAGTAGCTAGAGATCGACGTTAGGGCTGAATCAAAAGTGAAATCGCAGGAGAAAACCCGGAATCTCGGTCTGTGTATAGTTGGATGGTAGAGTGATTGATGGTACCTTAGTAGCATCTTGGGATTCAACATATGTCGAGACCTAGCCTCAATTCTACAACCTAGATTTGACACTGCCAGATACCTCGATCTCGGCCGCCAAAGGCACGTTGCCGAGAGCTGTCGGGCCTTTGCTTCCTTCCATTAAGACATTATACGGCTCCTCCTGCTTCCCAATCTGTCTCCACTTCCAAAGCTTTGGTGGAATCTGGTCTTGGCCCTTCTTTTCCACTGCGTCTACGACCCAGTTACCAATGTTGGGAAGATACTTGAACGCGTGTCCACTCCCGCCAGTCGCAACCATAAGTGTCTCCTCGGTGTCGGGGACATGGTCAATCACAAAATGATTATCGTAGCTGTCCGTATACCAACACACTCTAGTGAAAGAAACATCGATGCCTTCGGCGCCTAGCTCCGGTAGATTCTCTGCCAAGAATAAGCGCAAAACTTTCAGAGCTTGCTGGGGAATCGTCGTCAGGCGGTCATTAGTCGCATCGTTAGGATCGCTAGGCGCCGATGCACTCGACCACCGTGTTACGGGTACGCTGCGTTCCTTGCCGTCAGCTTGCTTGACGGGGTTTGTGTATTTGGTTCCGCGATAGCCGATCTTCAGCCAGCCATTCTCATCCCTAGGGAACCCGTACAGTCCACCTTCAGCGCCGTCCCTCACCTTGTAAGTGAAGGTTGGGAAGTTTTCGGGTGCGAAACGAGTAAACAACGGCGATTCACGGGGTATTTTGAGCAGCACCACCGATCCTGCCGTCGTCTCACACAGACCGTCCATGGCTGGGAGTAAAGAAGGTGTCCAGCCACCACACGCCAGAATAGTCAGCTTCGCATAGTGCTCCTTGCCATCTCGGGTGTTGATCCCGACAACCTTCTTCCCCTCGTAAATCAACGAGACAAGGGCACCAGCTTGCGAATCTAACACAAACTTGACGCCCTGGCTTCCCGCCTTATGCAGCGCAAAACGACAGGCCTTGTCAGCCACGGCCATGCCTCCCGTCGTGTCGAGAACGCCGGCCGCATTGAGACCTCTTTGCAAACGTCGGAACGGGTCCATTCCGAACGACCATCCTTTTTCAGCAGCGATCTTTTGATGTTTCTCATCAATGGTGATCAGTTGAGTATTTCGATGCCCTGCTGCCTCCATGTTGTCAACGGTGTCCTGCTCGAATTGCGGCAGGGTTGCTGAGTCTGAGAGTGACAGGTTGCCGTTATTGACAAACACGCGGTCGTTGGTGGTTAGGCCGGGTGGGACTGTTTTCCCGCTTGCCAGCTCCTCGTTCCAAGCGGTCCAGCCCTCTAGCGCCTCAATGGTCAACCCTTGGTACTCCGTTTGTGCGCCATAAGCAGATCTGATGATTTTGTTCATGTCTGAATCGTTCATTAGCCTTCTGCCAGCAGCACTAGAAGAGTGATAAAGTTTCTTACCTGCAGAGGCTCCATCGGCGCCTTTAAAATACGAGTACAGACTTTCGTGGTAGGGCTGTTTGTCATAGACGGTGACGTTCTTGTATCCCCGGCGAGACAGGTGCAACGCGGTGCTGAGACCAAAGATGCCGGCCCCGACGATGATGACCGCATCGTCCTTGTTAGGTGAGCGTGCCATGGTTTCTGGCTGCGCTACTGTATGTACCGGTATAGCTGAGCAGAGTTCAAGAAAAAAATGCAGAAGCTATTCTCGGGAGTTTTGGCCCCAAGACGTTCCAGAAGCTCTGGCCAGGTTTCGGAGAGGAGTCCGAAAGGATTGTTCGTACTTCAGTAGCGTGCTGCTAAACTTTTGGCAACGAGGGGTCGACAGGCGAAAGATGGGAACACCAGCTTCCTGGAACGGCGTTGAACGGCCTTTTTCTCTTGGATCGAGCAAACTAGTCGAGTGCCGACAGGTCGTATGGTATGATTATTCGGTAAACGCCGTGGCAACGCTGCTGGCCGGGTCGGAGCTAGAAGAAAGTGCGGGAGCTAAAGTCACTGCGGCGCCTGGATTGAGGAGCAATAGTGTTAACTAAAGGATCCAACAACACGTCGAAGTTTGTGAGAGACTGGTGACTTGTGACTGTGTGAATTAAATCACATTGGCAATGATTGGCGACTTAGCAGGGAGCAAGACCATAAACACTCAAATTGATATCAACAACTGCGCAACCAATCCAATTAGATAAGTTCATCCCCTAGTCGCCGTCACTATCAAAGATACATCCTCCCTTAACGGAGCACTCTCGTGCCGGGTGCCCCACGGGCCCTCCACCCACCGCGCGGTCTTGGGTCCGGTCCCGGCAGCTGATAACGTCCTAGTCTGTGTCGCTCTACGACCCCGCTCTCGTCATTTCGCAGTGTGCCGCAGACATGGACACCCTTGCCCGGATTGTCCCGGATAACGATCCAGGGCTGTGGTTGGCAAGCTACTGCAAGTCCCATCAGAGCCGGTGACTGTCAACCTACCTTAGCCTGATACGGGTTACGCTGAAGGGGGGTTCGAGGAAGAATCCTATCTCAAAGGGATTCTTGGTCATGCGCCGTAGGGACGAATGGACTGGAAATCCCCGCCAGAGGTATCTACCCCGGATCTTGAGCTTGCACAGACGACGACCCTGCCGATTGGGACTCTTTGGTCAGCAAGTGAGGCATGCTCGAGGCAGGGTAGGGTAGGGGTTGAGCCAGACCGAACGTCTCTCTTTCGCATCTTGGCTCTGATAACGTCCAGCTGATGCATAACGAGCCAACGAATATGCAAACAGGTTGACATATAGATACCGATTGGGCAATCTCCCTGTCCGATGATATATCGCAGGACCCATCGACAAAACACACGACTCCTTTGGTTCATCTAGTTACTCACTTGTCGCCAAAGGTTTCATCTGCTCACTACCTATACAACCCGGTCGAGTTCTCGTGCCGACCATACAGACGGTGCCGATTTGCCGGATCATTACTCGGACTCAAGAAGGACAACGCGTCGTCCTCTGTAAGATGGGTGTCAAGCAAGTCTTCACGGAGTCGACCTTCGCCAAGTACATCACAGCAATCAAGGAGTCGCCTCGAGAACTCATCTCGAACCGAAAGCTCTTGCTCACCGCTGCCCTCTATGCCACGAGTGGCATCCCCATCAGTAAGAAGACTCCGTTCACCATCATTGGCATTTCCAAGATGCACCGGCTGACCGGTCAACATAGCATGGGATCAAGGCTCCTCCTCGGTGGTGCCGTCTCTTCCCGGTTTCCAGAAAGACTTTGGAATCACATCGGCCACGAACCCCACTCAAGTCTCCAACTTCATCTCTTTCGTCTACATCGGAGCTGGCATCGGCGCAGGCTTGTCATTCTTCCTCAATGATCGCATCGGGAGAATGTGGTCCTATCGCCTCTACATGACCATCTGGATCATCGGACAAATCATCGCGACCGTGTCGATGGGTAACATCGGTGCACTCTACTTTGCTCGCATCGTCTCCGGCATGGGTATTGGTGCCCTCACAGTCACTGGACCTGTCAGTATCGTCGAGATTGCCCCTACAGAGATTCGTGGTCTCCTGGCGGTCTGGTTCAGCGTTGCCATGCTGCTTTCCTTGACTGTGTCGGTCTTCATCGTCTACGCCTGCTTCATCCATGTCGCTGTCGGGAGGCTCCAGTATCAGATCGTCTTCTTCTCTCCGACTATCGTTATGGCCATCCTCATTGCGGCAAGCTTCCTGCTCTATGAAAGTCCACGCTGGTTGTTCATTGCCAGACGGGACGATGAGGCGATCCAGAATCTGACGGCTCTCCGAGGGCTGCCGGTCGATCACCCCCGGGTGGCAACCGAGATCGAAGACATCAAGGACCAGATCTCCAAAGAGGAAGAGAAGTTTGGACGCAACCCCGGCTTCGTCGTGCTGGTGAAGGATGCCTTCTTGGTCCCCTCAAACCTGCGTCGTGTGCAACAGGCCGTTCTGTCGTACGCTCTCGCCCAACTTTCCGGAGCAAACAGCGTCACGTCTTACCTCGTCCCCATCCTGAGCATGCTGGGACTAGGTGGTGGCACTGCCCGTAGTTTGTTCCTCAGCGGCATGTACAGCATGGCCAAATTCTTCTTCACTCTAATTGCCAGTTTTTTCTTCATCGATGCTCTCGGTCGCCGTCGCAGTCTGTTCACGGGTATCACTATCCAGATGATTTCTGATCTGTACATTGGTGTCTTCATCAAGTATCGCCAGGAGGGTAATGTTGCACCGGGGTCTAGCGAAGCTGCTATCGCCGCTGTTTTCATTCACGGATTCGGATACGCTGTCGGTGAGTAGACCAAAGATATGTGACAGGTCGAATAAAGCAACATGCTAATACTTCTGCAGGTCTCCTCGTTCTACCTTATGTCTTCGGTGCAGAGCTGTGGCCCAACCATCTCCGCTCCTTCGGCAGCGCCTTTTCACAGTTTTTCCACTGGCTCTTTTTCTTCGGCGTCAACAAGGGTATGCCTTCGCTGCTCAGCCAGACTCATAACTGGGGTGCCTTCATCTTCTTCGCGGGATGGTGTTTTCTGTCGTTGATCTACGTCTACTGCGTTGTTCCTGAAACATCTCTCCAGAGCTTGGAGCAACTAGACGAGCTCTTCAAGGGACCATGGTGGAACGTCAGTCGCAGGGCTAAGCAACTGAAGCAACAAGCTCGGGAGCAAGAGGCAATCATCGACGCTCAAGAGTCAGTGTCAGTACCCTCAAGTCGTAAATCTTGAGCGCAAAGCCAGAGGCTAACATGCATATATGTAGAAGCGATCAAAACAGCGAGCCCGAATCTAGCATTGAGAAGAATGGCGCACGTGCGGTCAGCCAAAAGGTCTAATCAGATGCGTTGATACTGCCACGCTTGGAGGAACAATCATACCAGGCGCGAGGAAGCTATCGTCAAATTGCTTCGTTTAGAGGGGTGAAAGCTTTTCATAATTACTATATCTTACATTAGTAGGCTTGAATTGATAACTCAATGTTTGAGCCGTGGTCTGTACTCCTAGAAGAAGCCGGGTAGCATTTATGAATCGAGAATGTGTTCGGTTCAACTCGTGTCTTCACCCCGTCGGAAATGTGTGCATTCTCTAAGGCAGTGCGGTCTGCATGATTGCAGTCAGCTTGCTCGTGTATTCTTCCTCTAAGTTAGGACCTTGTGCATGCCAGTGTAGACAGGAAGAAAGATGAATCAGTCTTATTGAGATTGCTGGTCAGGAGACAATGTACTATAGCAAGTGTGTTCTGTTTTATTTGAGCTCACGTTCACGCAGCTTGTCGAGCGAAGATATTGGACTCTTTCTGCTGTCATCTTATGAAGTTGTGATGTAAGTTTGTGATATTATATCTGTTTGAAGCATTCTTGAGTCGCTGCAGATGTCTGCGGACCGCTCTGGAAAGTCTACGGCGCTGACGCTCTACGCTATTCATGATTTCCTTCAGATCCTAGCTAACCTCTAACTAGGAATTTTTGTTAGGTTTGTTAGCTCACTTCGCCAAAGCCTTTGCCTTTCTATCATGGATGTCGATAACAGGAGAGTTAGGCTTCCCACTCTTGAATAAAGCCCGAATATTCTCAAAACACTCCCTCTCAGCCTTCTGAAAAGCCATGTCTGTGAGGCCACCAAGATGAGGTTGCGCAATCACGTTATCGTGTTGAACCAAGGCCATGTCTGGCTTGGGCTCGTCGCAGAAAACATCGAGGCCAGCGCGGGCCACCTTGCCAGAGTCCAGAGCGTCCTTGAGCGCCGCCTCGTTGATGACGGGCCCGCGAGCAGTGTTGACGATGAATATGCCGTCCTTCATTGCGGCAAACTCTGCGGGTCCGATCAGACCAGTCGTCTGGTCGTTGAGCGGGCAGTTGAGTGACACGATATCGGACTTGCCGAGAAGGTCCTCTAGTGTTGGGGAGTATACCGCGTTGTACTTTGCTTCATCTTCCGCGGGAAGCTGGTGGCGGTTGTGGTATCTGATCTTGAGGTTGAAGACGGCTGCTTTCTTTGCGAGGTACTGCGCGATTACTCAGATTAGCTTGGCAACTCTACAATGCAATCTTGATGCGATGGGCCAGAACATACTTTGCCAATAGCCCCCATCCCGACAATACCCATAGTCAAGCCGGACGGATCTCTCCCAGGAACAAGCCCTGGAACCGCTCTCCAGGTGCCGGCCTTGGCGCTCTTCTCTGCATTGCTCGTATTGCGCAGAACAGCCAGCGTCAAAAACAGAGCCATATCCGCCGTTGCCTCGGCCACGGCGTCGACTGTATTGCAGAACCAGATGCCCTCCGAGGCCATCCACTCCACGTCGAACTCGTTGTACCCGGCACTAGCGGACGTGATGATTTTGCAGTTGGGTGCTAGAGCGCTCAAGAGACCCTTGTCGAACGGCTCGTACGGCGGTGTGCCCATGCGGATGATGAAGGCATCGATGGGACCGTTCTTCTCGATATCCTCTGGCAGCATGGCTATTGTTTCCTTGCGGTCTGTTGCTTCGAGAACGGAATAGTCGAACTCGGTCTTGAAGTCGGCGAGGTAGTCGTCGCCGACATATTTTGGAGTGCCGAGTGCCACGACTCGGGGCTTCCTTGAGCCCAAGTCATCTGTCCGAGCTGGTGCCATGATTGTGTGCAAAATGTCTTCTTCTCAACGACAGAGCAAGGGTTGTGGTATGATAGCAGGCTGTTGGATATAATTCAATAGTAATCGCGGGGTATATGGATGTCAGGAGAAAGAAATACGCAGGGTGTCAGACAAGCAGCCGACTGAAAAAGACTTGTCATTTAGCCGCAACATCGCCGGCTGCTTTTGAAATAACATTGAAAAGGTGCCCGAATCATCCCACAATTACCAGAATTGTTGCCCGTCAGTGACAAACAGAAATACATCAGCTATCACATTCCGCCGACAAATCAACTCAACTCTTACGCCCGGCTTTTTTCCGGTGCGGATCCGAATCACGGAGGGGTTTCTACAGTGGTCGGATTCTCCCGAACCGCAGGGGACCCCACTCGGGAGGACCCGAATCCGGGGAGACCTTGGCTTTTTTGTCTCGACAACTTTCCCTCCTTCAAGTTGATCAGTTTACGTACGAACTGCGGGGTAACCACAAACCACTTCCAATTGGGTGATTGTACGGCTGATCGTTTGGAGAGCATATCAGAAAACCCCCCATGGGTGAACCAACTGTTATCGATGATGTCCATGTAGTTGCTGATGGTTTCGATAAGCATCGGTAACTCAAGAGCCTTTCTTCGGCAGTCTCAGACGCGGCGTCTGCTTAAAGAAAGACGCTTTTGTCACTAGAACGAGAACTATCCGAAGAGCTCGTCAACCACGTGAACTTCCGAGTACTGAGATTATACTTCAACATGGCTCAAGCTACACAAAGTCTCTCACCGCTTGGTTTCATTGCCATAGAGGTGAACATACACCGACCACCGGGTGATCCCTACAACGAGCGCACCTGGTCGTTTCCTCTCATCCGTGAAATGGCAGAAGGGTCAAAAGTTTCGCAGGTCGTCACGTCTTCTAGCTATGACTCTACATTCATAGACCGTTTTGTGGATGCGGGACTGCGTTTAGCGGCTAGAGGTTGCGTGGGCATCATCACTAGTTGCGGGTTCCTTGCACTAGCCCAAGCCGAGTGAGTATAATGCCAAACATCATTTGCCATTAACTCAACTCCAAGGAGAAACCCAAAGTCTGATTTGTGAATATGTTAGACTCACCGCAAGGTTGCCCATCCCGATCGCCACGTCGTCGCTAGCCCAACTGCCCTCAATACTACCTCTGCTTCCGCCTGGCAAGAATGTGGGAGTTCTCACTTATGATGAGTCAAGACTAGGCTCTCAGCACCTTGCAAGCTTTGTGCCCGAACATGCACTTTCCAAAATAGTTATCCGCGGAGTGCCTCCCGACGGTCATTTGAGGGGCACAATTGGGAGGGGCGCCCCTTATGTCCATGCAGACATTGAGGCAGAGCTCGTCGCCGTTGCCAAAAGCTTTGTTGCTAGTCGGCCTGACATCAGGATCCTAGTACTTGAATGCACCAATATGCCCCCTTTCTCGGAGGCAATATTCAGAGCACTAGATGGCAAGATTCCTGTTTATGATGTGTACACCATGGGTCAGTGGTTTTACTCTGGGTTAGTGAGACCAACGCCAGTTTATTGGCATGGTTAGCAACATCTGCAATGATGTCAGAGTCGAAGCTTTTATGATGACTCTATGAACGCAATTGGGTCACAGCCGAGTCCGTTTCAGCTTGGCATCTCTTTACTTACCCTAGTGTAAATGAATAGCTCTTCAGTAATCACCACACTATTGTGAGTGCGAATGGATATTGACTTTTCTTCACTCCCGTGTTTACTAAACACCTCTATCCACATGCAGTCTTATAATAAGAAGTCGCCTCCTGACTCCTTCAAAATCAACTGATACTCTGGTACAAACTGCATGTACATGACTTCCGGTGTACCCGTGCCATCCTTTGTGTACTGCGCCTCCTCTTCGCCGACAAACGTCTTCTTCAGTCCACCAGCAGCACCGTTGGTTCCAGGAGCAACAGCCTGCTCAACAAGGAACTGAGCCTGGCAACAACGTTCAAGCGCGATAAAGAACGCAGCTGCCTCAGCCACCGTCCCACCGGCGGTGAGTAGTCCGTGGTTTTGGAGGATGATGTTCTTGTTGGTTGGGCCGAGGGCTTCGGCGATATGCTCGCCCTCTTCCTTTGCCAGTACGACGCCACCGAATCCTTCGTAGACAGAGAGGTCGTTGTAGAACATGCATGAGTCTTTTCGATGGCATAATTAGAACTGCATCCCTCCATAGTAGTGCACGATGGGGTTGGGAGTTGTGGCTCACCTTGGTTAAGCATGTCGATCGGACGTCCGAAAGTACTCCACGCCCGGCCGTAAGGGCTGTGCATGTGGCAGGCGGCGTTGATATCCGGCCTTCTCTTGTGGAGAACGGAGTGAATGGTGAAGCCGGCGGTATTTACCGGCTTGTCTGCACCGCCAATGCGGTTGCCATCCTCATCGATGTGAACCATGTCCGACACCTTCAGCACGCCAAAATGCACTCCATACGGGTTGATCCAGAACGTGTCCGGTCTAATGGGGTCTTACAGGAATTCTCAGCATAGTCCTCGCCTGTTTGTATTGATAGTAAAGAGGAAAAGGGAAGAAAGCATACCTCGTAGACTGATGTGCCCACTGCTTCCATCAGAAAAGCCCAACTTGGCAAAGATGCGAAACGCGGCTGCCATCTGTTCCAGCTGCCATTTTCGGGCGGCTTCTTTGGATTCGGGAACCGGGATCTGGTGTAGGCGCTTGACCTTGCCGCTACCCGCCTTGCCCGAGTCCAGCGCCGAACCGAGCGGCGTCGGCGCCGGTGGTGCTTGTGCGGGTGTGGATGCCGTAACGGTTGTGGTGGTTGACATGGTGGGCGATGTGGTAGGTAACGCTCTCAACTGCAATGTGCCTTCAAAGAAGGGGAGGTGGTTTTCCTCGGCTGTGTCTTCTTATCAAACCCTCGTCCTCTCGCGATGTGACCTTGAAAGAATGAGAAAGTCGAGTAAGTGAGCGCTCGATGGAATACCAAATGGCGGTTACTCCGCATGTGATGGAGAAGAGCGGATAAGCACAACAGCAATGTCGCCATCACTCGGAAACCTCCGACCCTGGCGGTTGGGGACGGTTCATGCCCGACTAAGGCCGCTCCTTGCTTCCGATCCACCTTTCGGCAAGATGGCGAGCTGCCGGCGCCTCCACCGCCCCATATCCGAAGCCACCAAACGAATCGCAGTGACATCTTAGCAGTAGTCTCCGGCGTAAGCCGGACGACGTAGTCGATGACCTTGGTCATGCTTGCTAGAGTAAGTCATCTGACGGCTGTTAGTAACTCATCTCACAGTAGGAAGGTTTGCTGGTCAGACTAATTGTTTTCGTAATGCTCTCGGGAAGAACCATGAGGCCTAACTCTATGCCAGCGTTTTCCTCCGAAGTCATCGTGTGACCCAACTCGACTATGCGCACAGATGATTGTTGGTTACTAGATTTCCTTGATGTTTAATAATCCATGGTATCTAGAAGTTTGCCTCTAAATTATAACTCTCTACTACAGGCTAGTTCTATCTAAGCCTTACTTATCTTCCTACTATACCCGAATATCAACCTTATCGCATCACTCTTATCTTGATCTCTTCCTACTCAGCCATCCTCATCAAGGGATCTTCTTGGTCTTTGAACAACAACTGATTGACAAACCAACACCATCATGTCGACCAGCCTTCTATCCACGCACCGGTCAGGTCCTCCGGGCCATCCGGGACCCGACGCCAACTACGTCAACGCCGACACCCTCCGAACGACCTTTGCGCTCGCAATGTCCGCCATGTACAAGGCCGAGGTGCCCCTCTACGGCGACCTCATCCAAATCGTCCAAACCATCAATAGAGATGCCCAGTCCAAGCAACGCCACGGCCTCGGACACGGCTCGAGCTCCGCAACAATGGAAGCCAGCGTCGAGCGCCTAGCCCTCGAACGACACGGCGCAATCCGCCTCGGCACCCCGCAAGAACTCCACACCGTCCGCCGCATCTTCGCCCTTCTCGGCATGCACCCCGTCGGCTACTACGACCTCTCCGTGGCCGGCCTGCCCATGCACGCGACCTGCTTCCGCCCGACGTCGCCGCACTCCCTGGAACGCAACCCCTTTCGCGTCTTCACAACGCTCCTCCGGCCCGAGCTGCTCAAGTCTGGCTCGGCGCGAGCCATTGCCTTAAACCTCCTTGCAAAGCGCGATATCTTTAGTGATGCCCTGTTGGAGCTTCTAAGCACAGCTGAGACGTGTCAGGACGGTCGCCTGACACCAGAGCAAGGGGAGCGGTTCGTGGTGGAGGCGATTCGCACGTTTAGCTGGCAGCCCCTCGCGGCGGCTACGCACGAAGAGTATGCCCTCTTACGGAGCGAGCATCCCATCTTGGCGGATATCGCGTGTTTCCGCTCGTCGCACATTAACCACCTCACGCCGAGAGCCCTGGATATAAATGCCGCGCAAGAGGCCATGCTTGCCGCGGGTATGGCTGTCAAGAGCCGTATCGAGGGCCCGCCGGTGCGCAAGTGCCCAATCTTGTTGCGTCAGACGAGTTTCCTTGCGCTACAGGAGGGTATTCGCTTTGCTATTTCGGGAAGAGACGAGTTTGTGGATGGTTTCCATAAGGCTCGGTTTGGTGAGATTGAGGAGAGGGGAGCTGCTGTTACGCCTGCAGGCAGAAAGCTCTATGACGAACTATTGGAGGAAGCAATGGCAATAGTCCAGAAAGAGGGGGAATCTTCTGATGCGAAGTTGGTAGACGAGACATTTGCTAAGGTCTTTGAAAAGTTCCCCGATGACTGGGACGAGCTGCGGCGGCAAGGGCTCGTTTATTCGGACTATCGATGCGCAGAAAACGCCAAAGAGAAGCTGCACAGCTTGGAAAATATCGATACAGCAGACCCTGCTTCTCTCTTGGATCGGCTCGTCTCCGAGGGTGTGCTCGAAGCGGTGCCCATCACGTACGAAGACTTCTTACCCTTTTCGGCTGCCGGCATCTTCCAGTCGAATATCCAGGCCGGGGCTAGCCCAAACAAACCTACGGTAGGAGAGGATGAGTCGACGCGACCCGATGTAGATGGCTACGAGAAGGCTTTGGCAAGAGAAATCCTCGACGCAAATGACTTGTATGCGCAAGCGCAGATGAAGAGCTTGCAGACCTGCGCGGAAGAGCTTGGTTTGAGTATGGACATGATTCCACGGCTTTACTAATGCCTGGGAGCAGGATTCCAGGTAGACACGTAGAGAATTTGCTCATGCTTTTTGTTCTGCCAGTATGTTTGGCTTGCATTTCATCCCAATGATTGGAAAGATTTTTAATATTTGTTGCAAGCTTATTAGCCTCATTTCGCTCAGCCGGTGTATCTCGGCGCCCCTAATTATAATACCATCCTCGTTCATCGTAATTCATGGCATCTGTTCCGACGTGTCGGCAATAACTGCTAATAATCTCGAACACCTTGGAGCAACTCTTGCACCAGCCACTCCGACTCTTGCGGAATCGACAAGTCGTCCAATCCCATAATCCAATCCTGCATCGACGGCGCCGCGCCACCACCAAAAGCGGCATGCATATCTCCCGCTACCGGACCCGACTCAATCGCAGACAACGAAGTGTTACCACTCGCCGCCGCCGCCGCCGCCGGCTTCTGCCCATCGTTACAAACCATACTGATCGTCCTCTGCGACAGCGCCTCAAACATATCCCGGTACGACGTCGCCAGGTTCCACCGCTCGGCAATGATAATAAGAACGGTGGTGCACGCCATACACGTCGTCACCACATCAGCCTGCCTCGTCGAGTCCCGAACGCGCTTGGAGCGCCATAGGCAGTAGAGATACGTCAGCCCGCCGAGGAAGAGGATGTGCAGGCTGCCCCAGGTGAACTGGACCGAGGAGGACTGGTAAACGCGGCGGTAGAGCATGCACATCTCCCGCGCGCGCAGCGCGCACTCTTCCAGCACCCGCTCCGTGGCTTCGTTGTCGTTGAGGTTTCCTCCGTGACCGGTGTTGTCCGGCGTAGACTGGTTTGCTGCGGGTGATCCTCCCATCATGTAGTGGCGGTATAGCAATAGGATCGAGTGGTCGTAAGCGAGTTGGAACCAGGAGCGAGAGGTGAAGACTGACAGTGGGTGTGCCCTTGAGTAGTTTAGCTGATCGGGAGTTTTTGCACGCCACTCCTCTAGTTCATGGCGGAGACTCTCTATTGTAGCTGTATCTCCGCAGCCGCAACGTCGAGTCGTTGGGGGATATAGGTTGTCGCTGATCTTCGTCCACAGGCGCCTTAGTTTGATAGCGTGGATGAAGCCGGTCATGAGTGTCGGCGGGTCCGTATTGGATGTTCGTGAGGCTGACAAGAGTCCTCCCGAAGTCACATTCTCATCATCGATATCCAGTGGCAACTGCGCTCCTCGTTAGTATTTTATAACCAGAGGCTATCGCGAGAGATACGAAGAGAGGAAAAGCCTCACCTCAACATCGATAGAATCATCCGGAATACCAACTGGGCGGCCTAGTGTAAACGCAACGACTCTGTCAATGTCATACGCGACCCAGAAACACCTCTTGGACATTTCCTTAGTCAAAGCATCTGTATTTCTGTGATATCTCTCGGCACTTCGGTGGTAGCCGAGCTCGATACAATGGCGTATAGCCATACCAGAGACTTTCCTAAGAGACAGTCAAACCGGCATCATAAATTCAAGTAGACGCTTGACTTACCATAGACTTACACCAACAGGTGATCTGATAGAATACACAGCACAGGCTAGTATTGCCTGGATGGACTCTAGGCTGTCAAGGTCCAAGACTGCCGAGATGTGATCCAAGGCCATTGAATAGTAAGCCTGCCGACTCCTGCGTCAATATTCTTCGTCGCACAATACGCCAACTCCACGAAAGAATAGAGCATACCTCAGCAGCATCATAATGGTTTTGACCAAGGACTAAAGACCCTATTGAATATACCTGAAAGTCGTATTAGAGCACTGCCAATCAACTCACAGCCATGTCACGAGCTCTCCAAAGGTCCAGCTTACCATTAAGACGAAGAAAAGTGTTGATCCGTTGACACTGCTCAGATCTCCGTCGAGACTCGCCTTTAGGCATGTCTCTTCCCAAATCCGGAACGTCGGCTTGTGGAGAAATGGGTACTGGGGATGTATGTTGTTAAAGTACGCTTCTGACAAGTTTGCCCTCAGTATCGGCGACGGTAACCTCAACGGAACCTCTCGGACGACTTCCGGATTGATATCCTTCCCCCGGCCTGCATGGCTATGCTGCGAGCTCCCGCCAGTGCTGGCAAGGCCCATGGTCGCGCTGACGATGCGCGAAAAGGAAACAGCGGAAGAAGGACCAAAGTAATGCGGCTCTCGGCCGGCCGCGCTTAGACAGAGCAGCGCAACCTCTGACGACAAGGTATCGACATGATGGTCGTCAACATCTGGAGAAGGCGCACGTAATGCCCGCGAGAAGTCCACGTCTTCGAATGATGAAGGGTGAGCCTGGAGGTTCGGGGCGAGGGCAGATGGCATGTGCATGATGGGCATTGCTTGCGTGGGACCGCCGTTGTGCGAAGCGGCGGCGGCGTTTTGGTTTGCTTCACGACCACGACTGCCACCACCCTCGTGATTGGCACCAAAGTGATCGAGGGCGACCTCGGGCCGGGCCTGCTGTAAGAGACCTTCGAGATAGGCAACGCGGGCCTCCAGCGACTTCATGTAATCGCGCGGGCGATGTAAGCCGGTGCCGGGGTCTTCTACCAGGCAGTCTGGTTTTCCCCACATTAGATGAAGTTCATCATGCCGTCTCATGTTGCTATTGGACCTTACCTCGTCCAGTCCTCAC